TTATGCTACTATTATTCAAATATATGCACCAACCACTAAAGCCAGAGTTGAAGAAATTGAAGATTTTTACCAACTTCTGCAGTCTGAAATTGACATGCAGTCAAGATGCACTGATAGTTACTGGTGATTAGAATGTGAAAGTTGGAAACAAAGGAGGATCAGTAATTAGAAAACATGGTCGTGGTGACAGAAATGACACCCAAGAACACATGAGAAATTTTTGCAATACTAACGATTTATTCATTGCAATATCTTTTCTCAACAACAGAAATGGTGACCATAGCCATGGACCTTCCTGTATGGAATACACAGGAATCAAATTGCCTACATTTGTGGAAAGAGATAATGGAGAAGCTCAATATCATCAGGGGCCTGCTGCAGAACAGACCATCAATTGTTCATATGCAAATTCAAGTTGAAGATGAAGAAAATTAAAACCACTCCACAAGAGCCAAAGTATGAGCTGTAGTATAAAGAACTTGTTGTGATTGAGTCAATTGCCACTCATAGCTACCCTATAAGACTCAGTAGAACTGCCCCATAGGGTTTCCAAAGGAGCATAGTGCCTAAGGAACTTGACTGCTAACCAGAAGGCTGGCGGTTCAAACCCACCAGCCACTCCTCAGAAGGAAGACGGGGCAATCTACTTCCGTAGTGATACTGCCTCAGAAACCCAAGGAGGGGGTCACTATGAGTTGGGTCCGACTCGATGGCACATAGCAACAACAACAACAACTCAGTCTATATGCTGAGCAAATAATCTGAGAAGCTGGACTATCTGAAGAAGAATGTGGCATCAGGACTGGAGGAAGACTACAGCTTTTCATATGGATTACACCTCAAGATAAAGAAAACAAGAATCCTCAACATTGGACCAATAAGCAATATCAGGGAAAACAGAGAAAGTACTAAAGTTGTCAAAGATTTCATATTACTTGAATTCACAATCAATGCCCATGGAAGCTATAGTTAAGCAATCAAACATTGGGTAACTCTACTGCAAAAGATCCCTTTAGCGTGTTAAAAAGCAAAGACGTCACTTTGAGGACTAAGGTACATCTGATCCAAGGCACGGCTTTTTCACTAACCTCATACGCATGCAAAAACTGGATAACAAATAATGAAGACGGAAGAAGAACTGATGTATTTGCATTAGGGTGTTGGTGAAGAACAATGAATATACTATGGACTGGAAGAAGAAGGAACAAATCTGTCTTGGAAGAAGTATAGCCAGATTCTCCTTAGAAGTGAGGATGGCAAGACTTGGTCCTGTGTACTTTGTACATGTTATCAGGAGGAACCAGTCCTTGGAGAAAGGAAACATGCTTGGTAGAGAGTCAGCAAAAAAGAGGAATTCTCAATGACACAAATTGACACAATGGCTACAAAAATGGGCTCAAACACCACAACATTTGTAAGGATGGTGCAGGACCAGGCAGCATTTCATTTTGTTGTACACAGGATCACTATGAGTCAGAAACAACTCAATGGCACCTAACAACTATGTGTGTGTGTGTATATATATGTGTGTGTGTGTGTGTGTGTGTGTATACAGGGAGCTCTGGTTGTGTAGAGCCTAAGGCATTTGACTGCTAACCAGAAGGTTAGTGGTTCAAACCCACCAGCCACTCCTCAGAAGGAAGACTGGGCAATCTATTCCGTAGTGATACCGCCTCAGAAACCCAAGGAGGGGTTGCTATGAGTCGGGTCCACCTCGATGGCAGTGTGTGTGCTCATGTATATACATGTGTATATATATTATGTATATAAACAATACTTATATGTAATATATGATATACATAACATATATTATTTATAATATGTATATGATACAGACATAGATACATATAGGTATGTGTTGGTTATCTTCTGGTGTCACTTAAAGTTCATTTAGGCAATGTTTGACTGCATATACTTCTGTGGTCGCATGAGGTCATTTTTTTCAGAAAGGGAACGCAACTCTCCTTTTGTTTATTATTTGCCCCTAATGGTTTTAAAGAAGCTCTGGTGGCATAGTGCCTAAGGCACTTAACTGCTAACCAGAAGGCTGGTGGTTCAAACCCATTAGCCACTCCTTGGAAAGAAGGTTGGGCAATCTACTTCTGTAGTGATACTGACTCGGAAACCCAAGGAGGGGTCGCTGAGTCAGATCTGACTCAATGGCAGTACTTTTGGTTTTGTTTGGTAATGGTTTTAGGGGAGCTCTGGTGGCATAGTCCCTAAGGCACTTGACTGTTAACCAGAATGCTGGCGGTTCAAACCCACCAGCCACTCCTCAGAAGGAAGGTTGGGTAATCTGCTTCCATAGAGATACCACCTCGGGAACCCAAGGAGGGGTCACTATCAGTCAGAGTCAACTCAACGGCAGTGAGTTTGGTTTGGTTTGGTTCGAATAGTTTTAAAGACCCCAAATGCCCAGGGGGAATAAGCAGCAGGGCTCTCTGGCAGACCCTAATTCCTACAGCACCTCCTGCATCCCCTCTCTGGGCTTCATTCACCCACTCAGCAGCCATCAGCCTTTTACTCCTGGCCAGGGACATACCTGCTGAGGCTCCCCTACTCCTGCAGTGGATGTGGATGGCACTGGGCAGGCCCAGGGCACTCACAGGCTCCTGGCTCCAGGCAGCAGCTAAACATGACCAGGAAGTGGCCAAACTAACAGGGCAGTGGCAGCTAGGCACCCACATACCAGGTCCCCGTGGCCACCTCTCCACTCCCCCCACTCAGCCCTGCACTCAGATTTCAAAGACCCAATCTGGCTCCTGCAGTGCCAAACCATCCCCCCCCAAGCATGGCTGCACACCCCGCAATGCCAGCCTTCTGTATACAGTGGATATAGCTCTCAGGCTTTGTTCAGCAGGCTTCCATGTGGTTTTAATATAATATGCTTTATGGGGATTTAATTATGGATTGAAGAGGGACTGTCTGTATATTATGTGGTACTCACACAATGTCCAAAACA